CCGCCTCTAACTCCTCTCACACACCAAGTCAGCGCAGTAAGGCCCGTGTCTTGATTCCCTTCACCCTATCTGCATTGTAATAGCCTCTCTTTGTCTCTGTTTCCCTGTCCATAAAGTGGTCATGACAGTACCTCTCTCATAGGTTGTGAGGATTAAACAAGCTAGAATGGCCAGGCACAATGGTGTGTGCCTGTAACCCCAGCACTTTGGGAGGCCGAAGCAAGAGGATCACTTGAGGCCAGGAGTTTGAGACCAGCCTGGGCAACATAGCAAGACCTCATCTCTAGAAAAGTATTTTTAAAAAATTAGCCAAGTGTGGTGATGCATACCTATAGTCCCAGCTACTCAAGAGGCTGAGGTAGGAGGATCACTTGAGCTCGGGAGGCCAAAGCTACAGTGAGCTATGATTGCACCATCGCACTCCAACCTGGGTGTCAGAGTGAGACCATCTCAAAAATTTGAAGTTAGGGTTGTATAAAGCCTGGCTCAGACTAAATATAAATCAGCTAGTATATTTTATTACAATTAGCATGATTCCAGGTGCCAAATACATGATTCCAGGAGCCCATGCCAAATACTAAACAAAGTTTCTGGGACACTGACTGCCTTGCACAGCTCTTGCCAGTCCCAGCAACTCTGGGACTGCCCCCATCCCTGTTCCCACAGCAATTGCCTGGGTCTCTCTTCAAATAGATGGAATCAGCACACTGGCCTCTTCTGAGCCCAAGCATGGCCATGGCCCAGTGTCCCCTGCTGCTGTGCCTGCCTACCAGACTGGATACCCAGGGTCTCACTTCTGACCTAAACTACACTACCGCATGCTTTCTGGCCAATAATCACAATAATAAAAGTAAGAGACCGAGCATGGTGGCTCACACCTGTAACCCCGAGACGGGCGGATCACCTGAAGTCAGGCGTTCAAGACCAGCCTGGCCAACATGGTGAAACCGTCTCTACTAAAAATACAAAAATGAGCTGGGTGTGTTGGTGCACACCTATAATTCCAGCTACTTGGGAGGCTGAGGCATGAGAATCACTTGATACCAGGAGCTGGAGGTTGCGGAAAGCTGAAGTTGTGCCACTGCACTCCAGCCTGGGTAACTGAGCCAGACTCTGTCTCAAATAATAATAATAATAAGAGTAAGAATTATAGTATTTTAATTTATAGTATTAACCTGTCAAACCACATTACCTATACACAATTATTTAATCCTCACAGCAATCCTGAGGGAAGCACTATTATTCTTCCCATTTCACTGATAAGAAGACTGAGGCATAAATAAGGTAAATAACTTAGCAAGCACTCTCAAGCCAAAGCAGAGCAGGGATTCGAACCCTGGAGGGTGGGCTCCAGGACCTTTGCTCTTAACCTTTATGCCAAATTCCCTATTTGACCACTGGCTTCTCTAAGGTGGGAGAGCACAGTGCCCAGCAAGGAAGAGTCCCTGGCCTACCACACTAAGGCTGCTCTTCTCCCCAGTGCCTACACCACACCAGTCAACCTCTTCAAGACGTACCGGCCCCAGGCTCCAGGCTAGGCAAGTAAACACCATGTCCTTCCCTTCCCTAAGTCCCTCAGGATCCCTGCCTCACCGCTGACTTGGTATCCGAGTGCCACAGAAACATGAGAGAAAAACAAATCGGGCCCATGTTCCTAAAACTCTGAATGCCACCAGAAATAGCCTTCAAGTTAAGGCGCTGAGGCAAATTTTTACCTGTTCGTGGCTAATTATGCAAATTTCACACACTTTACATTGCAGAAGACACCTCTTCTATACCTCCCTCATTTTGTGTATGTAAATTGGGTGGAAGATACATTCTCCAGGGGTATGCCTAAAACTAACATTGTCATTTGATCTTTAGGAGTTTGCAGATACTGGATGAAGATTTCCCGCTGAGGTTGGTTTCCACAATGGAGCACTGCTGCCCCCTGGTGGTGCAGCGTCATTCTCCGGCTCTACGTTATTTTTAGGCATTGACCTGCCAGTCTAAGAACCATGCATTTCAATATTTCCAGTCCTTATAGCTGAAGGCATTTCATGCATGCATTCATTCAAGCATTCATTCAGAGCAAATCTAACTTACAAGTTCTTCCAACTAGCTTTCTTTCCCCACCTCTCAGCCTTTTCCTTCTTGGCTTCTCTGAAAGAACCCTTTCACTACAAGATAACCTTTTTGGTTTAACCCCCTCCCCCTTTAGAGCCCCCTTCTCCATAGAACGGAAGTTTCCCACAGCCACTTTCAGCAAGTGCGGAAACCTCCTGGTTTATTTAAATTTGCCCTATATCTTACTGAACATTTATCCTTTTCTAGAATGACTGTTCTATGACTACTCCCCCAAACATAGAGGTTTTAATTTGCCCTTTCGAGTTCCCTGCTGTCAGCAATTGCTATTGTTTTGGAACAGGTTAAAAGAGAGAGAGAGAGAGAGAGAGAGAGAGAGAGAGAGAGAGAGAAGGAAAAGACATGGATAAAACCCAGAGTGTCTATACCTGGCCCCTATAGGAAGCAACCTGCCCCTTCACTTCCCCAGACTGAGACTCAAGAGAATGAGAGCCCTCGGCTAAGGATTTCAGTGGGAAATAATCTTAAAGCATGCCTCTGTGTGACACAGGACCCTACCAGAGGCCTCTAATATTCTTACTAGATCCTAAAAGGCACAATTTGAAAAGGGGGGCCGGGCGTGGTGACTCAAGCCTGTAATCCTAGCACTTTGGGAGGCTGAGGGCAGACTGCCTGACCTCAGGAGTTAGAGACAAGCCTGGGAAACATAGCAAAACCTGGTCTCTACTAAAACTACAAAAAATTAGCTGCACTTGCTGGCGCATGCCTGTAATCCAGCTACTCAGGAGGCTGAGACACGGGAATCACTTGAACCCAGGAGGAAGAGGTTGCAGTAAGCTGAGATTGCACCACTGCACTCCAGCCTGGGTGACAGAGTAAGACTCTGTCTCAAAAAAAGAAGAAAAAGGAGATGAGAAATAACAGGAACAAATAATTTGCATAATAATAAAGTGCAGAGCATACAGGGCAAAGCTTATATATAAGAGGAAGTTGGGAAAATAATCTGTTTCCTCCTAATGGATTTAGTTTGTTTCTCTGAAAATTACCAGCCATCCTCAGGAGAGGGGTGTCTGTGTGTGGATGTTTGGTCCAAAAGTTATTGGCTGGCAAACCGGGAATAATTCAAATATTCACAAAGGTAAGGAGATTGTAAAAGAGAGGAACCCACCCTATGCTGTGCCCACCCTACCTTTACTCCCACCCTCCTCCTGAAGGGCCTGTTAAACCACCTTCCTGGGTTCTAACCCTAGAGGTTCTGATTCAGGAGGTTGGAGAGGACCTGAGAATTTGTATTTCTAACAAGTTCTCTGGTGATACTGACGCTGCTGGTCCGGGAACTACACTTTGCAAATCATTGAGTTAGAAGATCAGCTGCCATCATTTTTTTTTTTTTTTTTTTTTTGAGACGGAGTCTCGCTCTGTCGCCCAGGCTGGAGTGCTGTGGCCGGATCTCAGCTCACTGCAAGCTCCGCCTCCCGAGTTTACGCCATTCTCCTGCCTCAGCCTCCCAAGTAGCTGGGACTACAGGCGCCCGCCACCGCGCCCGGCTAGATTTTTGTATTTTTTTAGTAGAGACAGGGTTTCACCATGTTAGCCAGGATGGTCTCGATCTCCTGACCTTGTGATCCACCCGTCTCAGCCTCCCAAAGTGCTGGGATTACAGGCTTGAGCCACCGCGCCCGGCTGCTGCCATCATTAAACCATCTCTTTTACACAATAATTTTAAACACAATTTCAAATGCAGATTTTAAATTCCTTCATGACAAAAGAACAATCCCAAACCGAGGTATGAGAAACCACAGACTAAACATATCTGTCTAGAATATCGATTTCACTTACAGATTTCTAGAGATATAAAAAGTTACATACTTTCACTGGAAATTTTAGAACATTATGTTATTGTTATAATGCAAACATATATTCTTTAATACAATGCATAATTCAATGGAACTTTGAGGACAAAATATGATTTCTAAGAACCCTCTCTTCTTTTTCAAGGAGCATCTTTCATGTTGCTGCCCAGAAATGTGCAACACTGCTGCTTGCCCTGCACTTCCAGGTGTGTGCATATGTGTGGGTGTGTGTTGTGTGTGTGCATGCATGTGTGTGTGTGCATGTACATGTTATTCTCTCCTCTATGAGGATTGTTTTGTTTTGGTGGGGGTGGGGGGTAGAATATCCCTTCAGAAACACTGTTTTAGGCATTGTCAATTACTAATTCCTTATGTGAATTAACTTAGGAATTATGCTCCATGAAACTAGATGTAGGTTGAGGAGGCAGAAAAAAAAGTTGTAAGCAAGAGGGAAAAGTGAAGTAGAGGGGAACAACAAAGGTAGTTTAACATGGCATTTCAGACAAGGATGCTGTCCAAGGAAGGCAGGCAGGGGCCTGGGCACAAAGGGGAATCCAGTCCTGAACACACACCATTGCCTTCGAATTTACTTCAACTCCACTCTGTTCTCACATCTAGGTCACCCTAAACAGCTCCCAGGCTATGGCAGGACTATTTCTTAAGCAGCTTGTGAATATAAAAGGAAACATATTATTTGCCAAGCAACAGCTTAGACAGTTTCCTTTTCTATTCCTTCAAGTAATAGCATCACAATCAAATTTTTTTCTTTCCTTGGGACTTCGCCACATTGGATACCAACTCCCAAACTCCTCGTTGTGCCCCACTCATTAATCCTGGTTGCCACAGTTCACTGAAAATCAAGGTGGGACCCCCTAGAGCTAACATATCTGATGGGTCAAACTTTAAAGGCTCATTTCTCATATGTATTTCATCTATTCCATAAAACCTCATGAGAACTAATAGTGTACATTGCAAATCTGTGGGCACCTTTGAATGAAATGACTCAAGGGTCAGAGAAGCCCACAGCAATAGTGACAAAAGCTTAATCTACAGAATTCCAATCCCATCCCCAGTGGGCTCTACCTGTTTGATGAACTCCGGGAAGCTGAGGATGGGCCCATTGTGGAAGACTGGATAATAAAAGACATAGGCCAGCATCCAGAAAAAGGAGTAGGAGGTCGATGCAGCAGGCAGCTGCTGCCAGCAGAGCTCCAGGCTGAAGCTGGTGTAGTAGAGGCAGCGAACGGTCAGGGTGAACTGCAGCAGGTAGTACTCGTTTTCTGTCTTGTACCACCTTCTCTACAAAATCAAAAGGAGAGAACAACCTCTCAGTGGCCAGCAGGGACATCGTCCAGTCCCACTGCAGGTGCTGCCCAGCAGGGCCACCTTCATCTGAGAATCCCAGGGGGCTCTGGGAAGGCGACCTCTTCTTCAGGTAGAGCAGCTGTGCCATAAAGGCAAGTCGAGAACCAATGAACACCAGGTAAATCTCATCGGTAATCAAAGCAAGCAGTTAATGAGCAGTAGGAAAAAGAACGTCTCTAACGTAAATTTAGCATTAGGACTGACACAACATAGTGAAGGTTTTCCCAGATACGCACATATCAGATACCCTGGGCATAAAGTGCAGATTAGCTACATCCAGTGGATACTTTGACAGCTTCTTCAACTATTCGGATAACAAAGAGGGACTTAAAATGTCCCATGGGATTTCTGTCTTCAACGTATCTTTCTTTTCGCTCTTTTGTTATCAGTTTGGCTCTACATTTAGTTGAGTAGCATCTGTCAAATAAGCTTTACAGACAAATATTAACAAATAAAAACAAAAAAAAAAGTCCCTGCCCTCAATATGTTACATTCTCATACAGGACATAGATGTGTAAACATGCAATTATAATACAGCATGAAACAAGAAATAACCTGTGCAAAAATATGCGTGGAACAAAAGATGAGAAGGAAATACAATAAAATGTTAATATCAGGGAGTAAAATCATGAAGTATTTTCTAATTTCTATATTTTTCTATATTTTCGATGTTTTCCAAAAATACATTCAGTGAGAAAAACTATTTATGGAAATACATAGAAGAAATATAACTTGGGTCAAAGGAGAAAATAATTAATTTGATCCATCAGGGTCTCTTAAAGCTGTACACAGAAAAACCAACCACTGAACAGAGTTTCTACTTCTTGTACAAGACTTTAACAGCCACCAAGGGGAAAGAGGATAATCATATCAGGAGAATCACATGTGCAAAAGCATGGAAACCCAGCTAGTTTCTAATCATATGATCTTCTTCCTCAATGTTTTTCAAATCACTGTAAAACGTACAGAACAAATGAATATTTATTCAACTCCAACATCCATAACTGATGCTAACTGTCCCCAAAGAAATGATAAATGGAATTAGATTCTGTTTTTACACTTGCCAGGTCTGCAAAAAGTTAAGTATGAACTTGTTTTCCTTTTTACTGTAAATCTGTTTTTAAGCACACTTGCTTTAATGGTTGCCTAGTTAATCACTCTGGGAAGTATCTTTTGCTAAAATGGAGTGATTATCTGATATACTCTCATAAGTCCAGATTTTGACATATGTGCTTAAAATATTAGCCCCACATCATTAATGAGAGTGAGAAAAATTAAGGTAGACTAAAAACAGCAAAAAAATACTTCAACTTTCAAAATGCTACAATTTTCACAAAATCACTTAACATAGATAGATTATCTTGTTTGACTATCAGAACAATCCCATGAGAAAGGAAGAGGATTTATTACTTCCATTTTCCAAATGATGAGATTGAGGCTCAGAGGCTAAATGACTGCTCCAGCTTCAGAGTGAGAAGAGACGGGGATTAGAAAAGACTAGAAACCAGGTCATCCATCTCACATTTCCCATCATGTTCCTTCCCATTACTGTGTTGATGCAGGGCACATGAATGCTAAGTGCAGTCACCTGCATCAATGAATGAGTGACTGAATGAATGAATGAACAAAAATATAGATACCACATGAGTTCCAGTCCCACAGTGATTGAAGAAAGAATATCCAACACTGCCCAAGATTTTGAATGTGCCTATGGAGATCCTAGGGGGTTAGAGGAAGGGATAGGTGTGTGCAGTGTCCCCAAAGCTCTATGTGACAACTGGTCACTTACATGCTACTGTTTTATTGTGTCCCCGGTTTGTAAGAGCCAGCAGCTCTCAGAGCAGTATGTGATACTAAATGATCTGTTTTTTCTGTGGCCCTCTTTTATTACTTACCTTTAGAGACTGAGGTCTAAGCTGTACTTTGAAAGAGAATCAGGTGGACAGGGATGATGGGAAGGTTGGTTCCAATAGACAGTGTAAACATATGTAAATGTGTAAAGGGAAAGGTAAGCAGATTGGCCTGACTCAAAAAAACAGCTCCTGCCAGTTGGACAGTGTCGGATATTCTAGGAAGGAGAAGGTCGATGAAGGTGGGAAACATCAATGGTCCTGCCCTAGGCACATGACCCCCAGTGTTTTCCAAGCTGTGGATCTCTCAGGCTGGCTATTCTCAGAGTCAACTGACCCCGAAGGTGAAGGGCTCTGAAGCCGAGTGCCCAGGACCAGACCCTGGAGCTGGGGCCTTGGACTTGTGTTCTTCTTGCCGTGCATTTCTACCTTAAAAGAAAGCTCCCACTTCTGCATGGTTGAGAGTTCCACACAGACTCTTCCTTTTTTCCCCTGCAGCCACAGACCTTGGCAGCTCCAACTTGCACATGTAAAGGGTGTATTCAACAGACAAGTGAGAGAAGGAACCTCACACAGTCTGAGTGGGCCTGAGATAGTCTGAGGGGCCTAAGTTTCATTTGCACAAGCAGGGCTAGGTTATTCCAGTTACCAAAGATAGAACCAGATAGTCCGGAGCTGTCCAGGAGATGCTAGCCACTGCCCAGGAGATGATCAGAGAACATACAACAGAAATCAGAAAATGCAGTGCAAGAAGAATTTGCTGATAGGTGCAATTGCCTCAGCAAGGCACAGTAAACTCCTCAACTCGGAAGGCAGTCCCTCTGTCATCCACCATCCTCTGGGCCAAGTCCGATGTGCAATCATAAAATAAAAATGCCTAACACAGTGAAACCCTGTCTCTACTAAAAAAAAAAAAAAAAAAAAAAAAAAAAAAAACACTAGCCGGGCAAGGTGGCGGGCGCCTGTAGTCCCTGCTACTTGGGAGGCTGAGGCAGGAGAATGGTGTAAACCCGGGAGGCGGAGCTTGCAGTGAGCTGAGATCCGGCCACTGCACCCCAGCCTGGGAGACAGAGCGAGACTCCGTCTCAAAAAATAAATAAATAAATAAATAATAAAATAAAAATAAAAATAAAAATGCACTGTTATTGTGACTAAGAAAAAAATAAAGCTAAAAGGTAAGTGCCTATAAAATAAGATTTTACTAATGCAAACAAAAGCTATAAAGAAGTGTGGTTTGAGCCTAGTGTCCTCCTCTATTAGCACAAACAACCGATAGGTGACTGAGTCTGTCAAAATGCCTCTGGCTTTACAAAAATGAAAGCTTGGTCTGTGCCCTTTGGAGACAACCCTTTGTTTTCACTATCTAAATTGAAAGAGCTTCCACTGGGTCACATGAGTAGATAATAAATCTGTTCCTGACCAGGCACAATGGCTCACACCTGTAATCCCAGCACTTTGGGAGGCCAAGGCAGGCAGATCACATGAAGCCAGGAGTTTCAGGCCAGCCCGACCAACATGGTGAAACTCCGTCTCTACTAAAAATACAAAAATTAACTGGGTATGGTGGCAGGTACCTGTAGTCCCAGGTACTCGGTTGACTGAGGCATGAGAATCGCTTGAACCCAGGAGGCGGAGGTTGCAGTGAACCAAGATCACACCACTGCACTTCAGCCTGGGTGACAGAGCAAGACTCCATCTCAATAAATGAATAAATGAATCTGTTCAATCAACTAGGAAGAAGAAAAAGACCTGACTTACCACCACAGGGTCATTGTGGCCATCAGATGAGTTGAGTGATGTGTACATTCCCTATAAATTGTAGGGCACTCTCCAGATGATTTTTAGTAAATCATCTGTTTGTTTCTTCTCTCTTTGTTCCTGGCCCTCTGGCCCTGTGACATCTGGCACTCCACATGCCTACCCAAACTCTGAGAGATGGTACAGGACCAGCCCTGGGCAATCTCACAGGGCTAAAACACAGCCAGGAATGATAGGACTGCAGAATGCACCACTAGGGTTCACATGTAGCAACCCTGTATGGCCACTATGGGGAGCCCCATCACAGTTCTACAATCATCTCTTGTCTGAAAACCAAGGTGTCTACTGGGATCAAGGCAAAGCCAAGGGGGCCTTCTCTGGATTCCGATGGTAACAGGAAGACACTTACCTTAATTTCCTCCACACCCTGCAGCCTCAGTGCGGAGAGCAGGAGGAGAGAACAGAGCCACGACAGGAGCTGAGACCGGAACTGGGCCACGCAGAAAGAGATGGTGGTATGGAGCAAAACCATGGCCACACCAGGAGTCCCCAGCACACACCAGCAGGCCCACATCCCATAGAGCATGAGAATCCAGGGTCTGTGCTGCAGACAGGGTGGGGCCCAACCAGAGAGAGACAGGGAGGGAGAGGGGAGGGAGGAAAAGAAAGAGAAGTGAGCCCATGGAATTGATATTGAAAGTTCTACGTGTAAGAGGATCATGTTTAATTACCCAATAAAGAAACTCTATTATCACGGCCCTGGGAATTTTGGTACAAAACAAACAAGATTCAGAGGGACTTTCCACATTAACCCCCAGAGTCCCATCAGCTCCACCCAGAAGCAAGTAACCACTCTCCTGCCTTCAACCAAAGCCACCCAGACCCCTGGGTCACACACAATAAGATATTGGATTGACTTTTCAACAGACACAATGGAAGCCAGAAGACAGCTGGGAAACTGCCAACTGGACCACATCCTACATACACCATCCTTCAGAAGTGAAGGCGAGAGGAAGTATTAGTACACATTTCTAGGACGACTTCTTAAGAAAACTGGATCATCCAAACCACAAAAGACTTTCCAAAGTCTAAGCCAGAGATTTTAAATATGTAGGGATTTTTCCATTTTTGATTTTTTGCATATTGATTAGTCAAATTTATGTCATAGAAAAATTGCATCTTACCTGCTTTATGAGCTACTGAGGACTTTGCATAGTCTACCTGATTGATACATTTATTCCCATTTTAGGAGAATCACAGATTTTTATCTAATCATCAAGTAATTTATAGTTATCACATTGAATAAGTAGATGAATTAACATGTCTTTGCTTCATGATATAACTTTGGTCAGATCTGATGGGGAAATCCTTATTTAAAAACTATAATGTTTTTAACTTTGAGACGCAAGATATCATTGTTTAATGATTCAAGCTTTGAAGTCTAACTGCCTAAATTCAAATGCTTGTGTCTCATAACTACCTGTGTAACCTGACGTAAATGACTCCATCTCTGTGAATTAATTTCTTCATATATAAAACTGGAATATCCCAGCACTTTGGGAGGCCAAGACAGGCGCATCACCTGAGGTCAGGAGTTTGAGACCAGCCTGACCAACATGGCATAAACCCCATCTCTACTAAAAATACAAAAATTAGCCAGGTGTGGTAGGTGACTGCAATCCCAACTACCCAAGAGGCTGAGGCAGAAGAATCCCTGGAACCTGGTAGGCGGAGGTTGCTGTGAGCTGAGATCGCACCATTGCACTCCAGCCTAGGCAACACAGCAAGACTCCATCTCAAAAACAAACAAAACAAAACTGGAATAATAACAGTATCTCCTTCATGGGGTGTATACTCAGGAAGGACTCTACAAATACGGTTGTTACTCCCATAGGGAAATGTGATGTCTCACAGGTACGCATTTTAAAATGTGGATCCCAGGAACACACCGAATTGAAAAGTGAGAAGTGCCTGAATTGAAGTCTTCTTGTGGAGCCAAAGACTTTTCAGGGCAAGACAGGTGTGGAGTGTAAATTGCAAATCCCATGCTTTGATGCTAACACTTTCAAAATATTGCCTACCTACTATTCTTTCCCAAACCTATACTCTAGTTCAAGAGAGAACATTTTAAATATGAGACTAGGTCAGCCATTTTTAAGTTCCAGGAAAACCAGAGAAATGTGAAGTTCATTTTTACTATTTTTCCATCCTACTACCCACAGAAAACAGCCATATAAATTTGCTTCAAACCCTCACCTCTGGGCAGAGTCCAATTATAAGGAATACGTCGCCAAAGACTATTTGAAGAAGTAGTTTTAACAAATGAAAAAAAGGAGGTTCTTTTCCAACATGACCTACAGCATTTACCAATGGAATTCTTTTTCGTGCATGTGTGGCTACATACACAGACACAGTTATGTTTTTATTAAGTGCTATTTGATCCCTTCGGAAAAAGCCTGTTTGCTAGGATTCATCTGGAAACTTACCACAGTCTGAAGCTGCTTCAACTTGGAAAATGCTGAAAGAACCTTCAGGAAATACTTCACAGTGCTGTGCAAACCCCATTTACTGGAGAGACTCTATGATGAATTTAACAGTAGTCTCCAAACCCACCTTGAGGCAGACAAATTTGTCCCACATTCATCCCCCACTGTTTTCCCTACTGCCAAACAGTACAGGCAGACGACACTTAATACTGGTCTAAGACATCACAGGACATGCTCTCACATGAGCCTCATGTTCTCTACCCATCTTAGTATTACGCACTGATTCTCCCCAGGTACAAGCAACTCTACTATATACATTCATGATGCACAGGCCATGAAAAGATGTGAGTAACGCAAAAAGAATCACCTACGCAAAACTGTTGTATAAATTAGAATCCCACTACAATGTTGATTTTCATACTTTGTCTATAAAAATGCCATTGGAATGAATCCTATCCCCAAAACACCATTAAAATCCTGCAAGAGGAGAATTGCTTGAACCTGGGAGGCAGAGGTTACAGTGAGCCAAGATCGCGCCATTGCACTCCAGCCTGGGAGACAAGAGTGAAACTCCATCTCAAAATAAGTAACAAACACATAAATAAAATACTGCTAGAGCAGAATCAGCCTCCCAGGTCTTGCAATCCAACTGGCATCATGGCAGGGCAGTCCCCATTATAGATGTAGCCCTTAGGGCACAGCTGCCCGACCACGATCCTTCCCATGCACAGACCTAGATCTCAAGCACTATGAAAAGGGTTCCAGGATTAAAGGGGGGCATGGCCCAGCAGGGTGAGCAGCAGCATGGACGGCCTGCTCCTCTGGGCAGCAGAAGAGCTTTTTCTAAGCATTCCAAAGGCCAGTTTCATAAGCAAAGGCCTAAGGATAGCCCTGTCCCATCCATCTCTACTCCAAATGTGTGTATGTGTTTATCGACCTTTTTACTCTCTTAAGTAAAAATGCTTAACTATCAGTATTAAGCCTCTGACATCTAACATCAACCAGGCCAGAATTTTTTTTAACTTTTCAAAAATAAAAAAATAAAATGTGTTGCATTTTGTTCCAAAACAACACTTCTGACTCATCACTAGAAAGGCTTTCAGATTTTTTCTCCCAAGTTCTCAAGGTAATAAGAGCAGACATACAAGATTTGGTCATACACGTACTGTACGTCAAACTCAAGTTTAAAAACACACCTAAACACCAAAATAGCCCAATTCATTTAATTTACAAGGTTCAAATCATGAATATGATTGGGTATTACTTGTTACTTGAAAGAAGACACAAAGAATCACATTGATCACATCAAGTGTATAAGTAAAGCATGGCCTTAATGTTGGATTGTGATGTTTCTGATTTATAAATTTAGATTCCAATTGCATACAACTTTTATATAATGCTCTCAGATTTTTATTGAGATAGTTGTATTCACATATACATACAAGAGACATCCTTTGTACACTTTACCCAGTTTCTTCCTATGGCACATTGTTTAAAACCACAAATATCACAACCAGGATATTGATGTTGCTGCAATGCACCAAACTTACTCAGATTTCCCTAGTTTCACTTGTATTCATTTATGTGTGTGTTTAGTTCTATACAATTTTATCACATGTATAGGTTTGGTATCTACCACAGTAAAAATGAAGAACAGCTCCATCACCACAAGGATTCCTCATGTTGCCATTTTATACCACATTTACCTCCTTCCCACTCCTCTGATCACCCCCATCCCTAATCCTGACAACCGATAACCTCTTCTCCATTTCAAAGACTGGCCTTTTTCACTCAGCGTAATTTCCGGCAGATTCCTTCAAGTTGCTGTATCAATGGTTTGCTCCTTTTCATTGCTGAGTAATGTTCCATGATGTGGATATACCACAGCTTGTTAGCCATTTACCTACTGGAGGCTGTCTAGGCTGTTTCCATTTTGGGGCTATTACAAATAAAACTTATGCAAACATACATGTATAGATTTTTGTGTAAAAATAAGTTTTCATTTTTCTGGGATAAATGCCCAAGATCACACTTGCTGGGGTGCTAGGTAGTTGCATATTTAGTTCTATAATAAACTATAAAACATTTTCCAGCATGGCTGTAGCATTATACTTTCCTGCCAGCAATGCACGTGTGATCCAGTTTATTCACATCTTTGCCAGCACTTGGTGCTGTTACTATGTTCTATCTGAGCCATTCTGGTAAGTGTGTAATGACATCTTGTTGTAGTTTTAATTTGAATTTATCATGCTCTTTTAAAAGGTATCAAAGCATGAGTGACCTGAAGCTTGAGATGGGTTTGCTGGAGCACAGGATGGCAGCCCCACTGGAACTACTCTGACGCTCCCTTAATGCTCTTTATTCCAGGTTCTTCCATTTCTAATAGAAGATGAACAGAAAGCAGGGGAAGAGGGAAAATGTTTAAAAGTCTGATGAAAAATAAGAAAGCGTACTCTATTTATGTAGCAGTAGAGACAAAGCCAGACTGAGAATGTTATGGCCTCTCTGATGAGACATAGATCTTACTAACCCTGATTGACTTAAGCAGGCATCCTTCCCCTCTGCTCCCTGGGTCTACACTGACTCATTCTCAAAATGGGGTCTGACCCTACTTGATAGTCTCCTTTAACAGGCTAAACTCCTGCTTTGTTTAGATTACAGTAATGTGAGCCCAGAATCTGGCACAGTGCCCAGCATATATCAAGTGTTTCATAACTACTGGATGGAAGGACGGAGAGAATAGTTGCATGGATGGACAGCTGGGTAGATGGATATGCTTTCCCAAGTCTTGGGATTTAACCTTGTGATCATGGCTAAGAAGAAACAAGAAAATAGTACTAAAATGTGGGCTTTGGAACCCACTAATGTGAAAACCTACTGTCTTCCAAAGTCTCTACTTGTCCTACTTAACCCGTTATAAACAAAGGCTGTTTTGCCAATGTAGGTAGAATGGAAGAGACATTTCACATCTCACCGCCTATTACCTGTTTGCCACTCACAGCATCTCTTAACTGTACTTCTGTTGGGGGAAATCTCCAATAGTTAACAACTGATGGGGCACAGGTACCAATCCGGGAAAGTAGATACCTGCTGTAGAGCCTTCTATCCATCACCCCGG